GTGGGACCACATCATACCTATTTCCAGATGGCAAAGCTGAGATGCCGAGAGGCTCAGGGAAGCCCAGCCCAGTGACCTGTCATCTCCCTTACTGCCTGTCCAAGAACACACATGGCTTTTTATTTTCTTTCCAAGAATTATTTTATTATTTTAAAATTTGCTATAGGGCATATGTGCTCACCAGGGAGAGAGAGACAGGAAAAGCGAGGATGGGCAAGGTCCCAGACTGGAACCACCGAGGGCTGTGTGGGAGTTCAGTGCCTCAACCACCACGCCACCTGCTGGCCCCATGTATGACCTTTTGAATTCTCACCACAGCCCTGTGTGGAAAACTGAGGTTCAAAAAGCCTGAGAAACATGCCCTAGGTCACGGCTAGGGAGTGGGGCCAGCACTGGGGCCAGCACTGGGGCCTGCCTGCTAGCCTCCAGTTTCTTCCAACCACAGTGGCCAAAGCTTCGTGCATCCTTCCTCGAGGGCTCTGGGTGCTCCATGCAGGGTTAAGATAACCCAGGAAAAGGGCTTTATGGTGCTAAATGAGACTCGATTGGGCTTCTAGAAGCTTCCTCCTCTGATCAGGGAACCCACGAGTGTCCCAGCCACAGTGTCTGTGCCCTGAGTTCCTGCAGTAGAGCCTCGTAAGAGAACAAAATAGAGCAGCTTCCTCTGGTGTACCCACTGTCCCTGTAGGACTATCCATCGCTGTGTAACAAATGACCCCAAAACTTGCTGGCTTTGTACGAACATTGACCGTCTTACAGTGTCAGTGCGTCAGGAGTTTGGGAGCAGCGTAGTGGCGTGTTTGGGGTCAGGGTCTTTCAGGTGTTGGGCTGCAGTCATCTGAAGGGGCTGGGGTGAAGTGAGGCACTCTCAGGTCCTCGCCACACGGGCCCCTCCACCAGCCATTTGAGTGTCAGTTAGCATCACCCAGAGCCGGTGACCAAGGAGAACACGGAGGCAGCAGCGGCTCCGGTGACCTGGTCTCCAAACCCACTTGAGCCTTTCCACTTGCATTTGTCGCTAAGCCCAGCCCTTCTTAGGGGAAGGCAATTAGGTCTCACCTCTGGAAAGGAGTATTGAAGGGACACACGAAAGCCCTGCAGCACCTGAGGGGCTGAGGGCAGAGCAGGGAGCACCGTGGCCAGCTGCAGGGGGAGACTGAAGGGAGGACGGAGGCTTCCGCTCAGCAGGAGCCGGCTGTGGCCCCGCTCCTGTGCTCCCGGAGGGGCTCAGGGTCCCTGTCGCCCTGCAGGACCTGCACTACATCTTCATCCCCTCAGACCTCCGCGACTACTTGATGCTGAGATCTGCCATCCTGGGTGTGCCTGTCCCTGAGGGCCCCGATACAGGGGACAGGTGAGCAGCTCTCCTGGCTCACAGGACCCCTACGGGGCTTGTGGGTGGAGGGAGGCAAGAACCCCCCAGCACCCAAGAGCTCCCGACTCCCCCCAGGTGACCCCTCCTCCTCGGCAACCCTTCTGATAGCGGACTGGAGGCCCAGGGGCAGTTGGGGTGGAGGGAGGCCTGGCTCCTGGCTCAGGCTGCACCTCCATGACCGACCCGGGCACCCGCTGCTCGAGGCAGGCGGGCGGCAGCAGCGGGAGGGCTTTCCCCCGGGTCAGCTGTCCAGTTGAGCACGTTCTGGAAACTGAGAGGGGTGCTGGCATCCTGGCAACTTCCCAAGGCCATGCCCATGAAACGGGAGAGCAGGCCTTTGGGGCCCCGTGTCCTGAGAGGCGGGCATAAAGGGCACTTTGTCTTGGGGCTGGCTCCCACCTTCCTGTGCAGTGGGCCCCGGTCCAGCGCTGTGGAGCCATGCCCTGGCCCTGTGAGCCTTCCCCTAGCAGCTCTGAGACCGCATATTGTCCCTGAGATCAGGCCTTAGAAAGCTATGCCACTCCTGGGCCGGTGCACTAGGACACCTGGTGCAGTCCCCGAGGGGCAGCTCAATGGCCAGCCTGAGTCCAGCCCCGCCCAGTGCCCCCCGCCCCCATCATTACCCAACAATCGCTGCCCTGGCTTTGTGACCCGGGCAGGGCCGGGCTCTGGGGGCTGCCTCAGGACATCAGGTGGACACAAGCCTCCTCAACACCAATGAGCTCCCCCTCCCACACCCCTAGTCCGTCCCCTACCCAGTCCCCCTCCCAGTCCCGGTCCAACAATGTTGACATCTCTTCTAACCAGCAGCCCTACTCGGGCTCGGGAGGCTCAGCTCCTTCCCCCTCCCCCACCCGGGGGTCTTCTTCCCGCCAACCCTCTCACCCTGTCACCCCAAATGCCTCTCAGCCCTCTTCCCGGGCCTCCTCCCTGACCCCCAGTCCCCACGTCCAACATGCGTCCCGAGGCCCTTCCCAAAACCCTACTCCACCCCCCTCCAAATCTCCCTCCCAATCTGGTTTAAAATCCCTCTCTCGAAACCCTTCCCTCACACCCTCTGCACCCCTGGCCAGGTCCCCCTCGCACAGCCCGGCCACCTCGGCCTCCTACATCGGCCCTATCCGGAGCATCCCGTCCTACATCACCCCCTACGTGCCCCGCTTCATGAAGGAGCCCCCTTTTTTCCAGCCCCCTACAGCCCCCCTGCCCCAAAACAAGTGCTTTCCCTGTGCCTTTCCCTGCCCG